GAATAGGAGCTGATGGAAAGGTCAAGTTAGCCTTCTGGTGTATGTAATTTAGAAACGTCAGTAAGAAAAAGTTAACAGTGAAAATTCCTATGGCAATAACATAATAGAGGTTAACAATCATAGCACTGAATTGTCACACTTTAAAACTTTCATAACACATGACATCATTTATACAAACGGAAAAAATCTTCTGTAACAATTGGTGCTGAAAAGTTGGACGTGAATATTCACAGCTGTGGCCCACAACTTCAAGCAAACACACCAAAACCCTATAAAAATACCAATGCAATCAATACGCTGTCTTGACTGTTATTTAGCTTTTGAAACAAAGTACAAAATGAGGATTTTACGTTAATCTAGTACCTGCACAGTTTATTAACAGAAGACTAATATTCTAAACGGGCTGAATCAGACAATCAACTAAATTTCAGTTAACATCAGCAAAGCTACATCAACTTATTCCAACTGAGCATTTGTTCTTTTAAATTTATAATGGGAATCTGGCAATTCAAAACCGGGGTGAAATGATTAAAAGGTCTAGATATTCTGTTAATACCAGTAAATTTTTCCTTCACTATGCAGTCTTTCAAAATTAAGCACAGTCAGAACACTGATAAATCAATGTAAAGGAAAGCACAGAAACATGAACCCTTTCATAGCATTTATAACCACAATAACTTCAACAGGGGACTAACAAACACCGCTTGTCTCCGTCACTTGAATCAAAACACTTCTGAGTGCCCACGTTACCTGTGGGGTTTTCTTCTGAAGGAGCTTCCTAGCATTAGCACTTCTACCTTTAATAGCATACATGCCTTATCTCCCCTTTTTTGTAAGCTGGCTTGCTTTCCTTTAAACGTGTTAATAGACACTGGGAGGTGCTATAGACTATAAAAAGAAACTGATCGGACTTGTCCTTAGCCATTTTGATACCTCAGAATTTTGATATTTTTCTAACTAGAAGGTAATGTATTTTAAAACAGAAAACCCCCACACCTGCTAACAAGCAGCATATTTTCATTAATAGCCTGTGCTAATTTTAGAAGTTTTTATTATGACCTTTATATGTCAAGTGGAATTTGATATTTCAATTAGAAGTAACTGTTTGAAGCAAAATAAAATAACAAAATAAACAACTTTTTTATTGTTAAAGACAGAAACTATTCTAGATGAACATACTTATTATCTAGAGCTGAAGATACTGGGGTTGAGAGGTATTTTGAAAGGCTGCGACTCTGCAGAACTTCCAGAGCTGCTTAAGTGACTTGATCTTGTAGTTCTGTGGGCTGTTTGTGTGCACAGCAGCTGTAACCAATGTAGTGGCAAATGTGAAGTTTTAGATGCTTGCCAGGTGTGTGAAGATGCTTGCTGCAAGAGCCTTCTAGCTTCTTCCAGAACACATGCACTGCATCGCATTGTAATGACAGATCTTCCCTTTGCGTGGTCCACATGAACTCCTGAGGTGGCAACGTTCAGGCTCCCCAGCTAGCCACTAAGAGGATGGATTTGGGAAAGCCATGGCTCTAGCTAAGTGCTTACATAGTTTCTGCAGAAAAGCCATTGTGAAAAGAAGAGTTGTACTCCCTGACAGAATTCTGAAGTAAAGTAGGAAGGATAGCTGAATCCTAGAGAGTGCAGCCAGTACTAGTACAATTGGAAAGTGCAGCTCTCACCAGCAAAAGCAACTTCAATTCTACCATGCTGATTTATTTCCTTTGGAATAGCCTACGCAGCTGAGGGACTGCACATAATGTGTAAGATAATACAAAGAAATCCAAGCAGTTCTTGAGAGCTTATTGGTGAGATCTTACAAGGATTTAGACAACTAGCTATGTATACGCAGCACAAAATTATTCAAATAACAAGACTTGCTTATTATGGCCACCTTGCAACAAGAAACTGATTTCTGCTGTGGGAAAAGCCAGTACAAGATCTTCCTTTACATTTGCTTATGCAGGGAAACTGCATCTGAGAATCCTTGAAGTCATCACAGCCATATCACTTTCCAATGCTACAGCAAAAAAATTGTTATATTACCTTTACATAAGGACAGGAATAAATACCTGTGCCTAAAGTGAGATTCCTCCCAACCGAATTCCCCACCCAGCACTATTGCCTGTATTGGTTTAGCACCATCTTACCAAAACCACATTCTACCAGTACAAAACAAAATCTCTGCCATGTACTAAGCGCATCTCTGACAACATATTGGAACTACAAGTATGACAAATACTAAACCAGTACTCTGATTATAAATGTTGTTTGTAATCAAAAGCTAAATTAGTTACAACTTCAAGGGACTATTTTTAAACTAAGTAGGTATAAAATGCCATTCTTCCAATTAAAGTTAAGATCCATTCTTCTAACGTAACCTTTCATAATTTTTACTGAGCATGAAGATCCTGGTGAATATTTCCAACAAGGACGGAAACCCCAAACCAAATAAAAAGGTACATAACTTCCAGGGCAAGTTAGTTTTCTTTAGAGCACTCTCAACCACTGTATACAAGTTAGAACAAAGAAATAAACTTTTTTATACCTTATGTCCAAATTATGATTCCAAGAAGACAATTCATCCACTCAGGAAACAAATTCTACCACCTACCTCATGAGGTAAGTGACATGATAGAAAATGTGGAGAAAATCACAGTGGGGGAAACAGATGGAGAGCCTCTTCCCTCTAATGAACCCTCTGCTCTCACTGCTAGCCAGCTACAAGGGGCTGTGCCCTTCTTCCTCCCACTTACTAATGTAATCAACTACACAGGTGTGCCAAACTTCTCGCTCTCTTTTACATCCTACAGTACCACTACAGTACAGGGATTACATTTTGAAGTGCTGAGCACTCTGTCTAAGCATCTGTTTCAGCAGTCAGGAAGGAAGTTTTCTTATTGAGGCTGTAAAAGACAAACAGTCTGGCATGTTTTCTTACATTACCAACAGTGCAACAGCCATATATTTGGGTGAATTGGTACTGGCGTTTGTAGTAGTTAATATTTATTAATTCAAAGAAAGTCAAACGTTTCATGAATTTTGAGAGTAGCCTTAGGAGAGCGGGGTCAAATTATACAGTAAATGGCAAGAGTCCTAGGCCTCACGCTTACCCCTTTAAATGCGTTTGGAGTTAAGGAATGAAAATAATACAGCTATTAATAAACCCAATCTTTTAAATTCTTATACACCAATTTCAATCAGAACATTCTAATTAACAAAGTGGTACTCAGGCTAGTTGATTGTAAATACCAAGCTAAAATTACTTAATATACCTTCATTTCTGACTGCATCTTTGTGTGACTTGAGAAATTCAATCTATATTACTAAACGTAAGAAAATTAAAAGGAAAAAGAAAAAAAGATTACCACATCTTTCTAGGAAACTATTACCACATCTTTTGAGGAAATCATGCTCTGCAATTTTTTTTCTTTAGCTAAGTAATGCAGAGTTTTGAATTTGAATTCCTGTATTTTAATCATACTGTTCTAAGAAAGACACGTTCTGAATGATGATCTTAAGGTCCTTTCCAACCCTAACTATTCTATGATTCTATGATTCTATGAATTATTTAATAAGAATTCTTGAACTGCTGGTTTCCTCCAGAAGGAACACTGGAAGCAAAACTGGTCTATTCCAAAATCCTAAAACTAACATTAGAGCAAACTAGACCAAAAGTAGGATTTTTCAGGTGATTCATAACATATGAACTCCCTAATTTAGTAAGGTGGTGAATAGCCAAGCTCTGATCTATCCAGATTATATAAGCAAGTTCCAATGGCTATAGCATTTAAGCAGAAAATGATCTAGTGATAGAAGATATATTTACTATAATTATTGGGAGGAAATTATTGGAGGAATTATTCTGAACTGTTTAACATTTGCAATGCAACAAACACCTCTATTTGCCAAAATAACACGAAATATTAATCCCGCTTTTTCTTCTTAGAGAACAAAATATTCCATAAACACGAGTACGTATTCTGTGCACTGTTCTTTCCACACAGGATCTGTAGACATCCCAGACACAATTTTCTAGAAGTGCTGACAAGTACTCTAGGGACGTTTCAAGAGACATTTCAAAAAGCACTACTTAAGGCTAAACCCCATTGCATATATATGGTACTCTCATTTCGAAATCCCTTCAGATGATATTTTAAAAATGTGCAAGTAGCCACTGTTATGCAACTGTGTGAGACAAAATAAATAATAGAAACCATATTTCCTGACTTTCTCCTAATCACTTGCAAGTGATCATCTTGTATCCATAAGATACACAATTTTTTCTTTCCTGCTAGGGCTAAGTTAAAATGCATGACTTCCATTACAGAAATCTTTTTTCCTTTTCTCCCTCTTCACATTACCTATTCACTTTTTTCTGTCTGTGTTACCATTTTATTTGGGGTTTCCTTACCCATATATGACAAAATTCAACAAACTTTAGTTTTGTACAAATTGCACATGAAAGAATCCTCCTTATTTCCTGAATTACATGCGCAGATTCCAAAACTGAAATGCAGGTGATCACCCCTTTGTGGGTGATGCAGGAAAATGCAGGATATTTCTGCCTGTATACAGCACTGTAAATATTGAAGATTTTGGATCACAGCTTGTTATAGTGTCTGCTTGTTCATACTTCAACAGTGCAGCTATGGGCACTTTCAGTTTAACTCAGCTTAGCAAAGTAGAACTGCTAGTTATAGCTCCTGTTTTGAGAGTTAAAGACCCATCCAGACCCATCACAGTGGGATGGTTTCTTTCTTTGATTTCCTCCTAACAGCTATCTGACAGCTGCATCCCAAACTAGCCTCTATTAGTGGATCCCTAAAGAAGTAATATATATCATCCTCTGTAATCACATGTGCTGCAATTCACCTCACAGGTGGTGGTGTACAAAAAAGTCCAATTTGAGCCCTGTCAGACTGTGCCATATTTATTTCATTAATACAGATCTCTATAGGAAAAAAATATTTCTTTTTCTGTGAGCATGGTGTCTGATTCAAACTTTCTCAATAGCACAGAGATGTAAGGAACATAAGAAAGTAATTATTAAGAAGTACAGCATTAGCTCTCTTCAACAGTAAAAATATGACTGCTCTATTCATATTGACTTACTGATGAACTATAGAGAACTATCAGTAATAGTCTAAATAGTTGCTGTTGAAAGTAAAAAATATTGCCCAGCTGTGGAGGAGTTAAGTTACTGACTAGTGGAAAAGATATCTAACCCTGTGATTCATTAGGAAAAGTTTGCTCAAGAGCTGAAAGACCCATATTAGGAAAGGGACAAATACATGCCTTTTGTAAAAGCCTGGCTCTACTAAAATAAGTTATTTTGTTACTGATGCCTATCAATAGCTTGAGGAGTTAATTTAAAAAGATGCCAAATAATAACTATTGCTTCTGCAAATCCATGTGCTTTTACTTTAAGATATGGTTTTACAACATCAATAATACAGACTGGGCACAAATTCCTGATCCACTATTAATGTCTTCCTGAATTTCAAGTCAGAATGATTTATCTGTATCTTACCAATATCTGTCTAGTAGTAATGTTGCTCTCTATTTATTGTACTGAAGATACAGGATTAAGAGCGCAAACACATCAAAATATCCCAATTTAAGGTATCCAACTTAGTTATTACTTTTCAAGTATAAGTGAAAATTCATATTTTGTATGGAATAAATAATTGGAATGGTTTTTGAGCTATATTAAAACCACAGATCCACATTTCTATACTCAAAAGAAGCTAATTGCATTATTTACATTAAATAGATAATTTCATTGGAGAAATATATTTTTGCATCTTCTGTTCTAACAAAAACATTTGCATTCATATATGAATCAAGAATACATTGATAGTCACAGAGGAATTAAGGCAGCAGAAAAAGACCAAGTTAGGAACAGCAGAAGCACTTTGTTTTGGTTTGTGTGGTAAAAAACAATCATCTTCTCAGTCAACTTTGGTACTTTCTCTCCAGTTTCTGTTGCAGTACAGCTGACGTCACAAGTATTTTATGCAAAGAAAAGATTTCTTCACCACTTTAGCCTTAATTGTTTCAGTCAGAGCAAAAAAACATAGCAAATTCTTTACTAAGATCAGGGGGTTTGTATGTATTTTAGAACATACCATTATGGGTACAGCCAATCTTGGTGCTGTTCTAACTTCATGATCTTCAAGGCAGTTCTAAAATTTCCTGCTGAGTTCAATGTTCCACAGTAACTTTTATGTTACAAATATTAAGAGAGAACAGCACCATCAAGAGTAGAAATTATCATAAACTCAATGCAGAATAAAAAAAAAAAAAGGCTTGCAAACTGAGTCTGCCTATCACAATATTACACAACCTAATGTAAAGCCTCCACAAAAATAAAAAAGAGCTGCAAACCCTTTATTTGCACATACAGCTTCTGCTACCCAGCCCATAGTCTAATATTAAAACCCCCACTAATCTTTATCTGAGTGCCCTACCTCTATGAACCTATAGAAGAAATCTCTACCTTGGTACTCTGCCTCCTTACAGGGAACACTATTCTTCCGTAAACAAGGTCATTGTTTAAGCCCATTAGATGATATACATGTTTTCAAACATCTATAAATCACAGACTAGCTGTTTCCAGATTTTGAAGGGGTCCACATATTCTGCTATAGGTTGCTGATGTATTTTACTTCTATGGAGCTCATCAAAACCTCATGACACCAATACGTATAAAAGCGAAATAAGAATTATGTGAACTGTAGCAGAGAAATTGGAAAGTGAAGCATTCCCAAAGGCCCCTATCTGATGCTGTTATCAAATACTTAAGTGGTATGAAATCTTCCATTTGTCTCAAGATCAAGAGAAAAGTATGACTTTATGCTTATGCCAGTGCAATGCACTGTAGTCTATCAAACAGGTTGTTGAATTACTGTCACAGATGGAAATTTAGAACTGTGCCAATATAATAATTTGCCAGGATGGATCTGAATTTGAGATATTAAATCTTTGAATGGACTGGTCACAGACAACCTTATTATAAACAGTCACCATATAGTGATATAATAGTACCTGTGTGCTCTGGGAGCCAAGAAAACTAACTACTGCAATTTTACAGGCACAGGAGAGCTCACATACTCCCTTATGCAGTTCACGGCCGCAGGAAGCTTTCCTTATCTGGTAAAGGACGTGAAGTAGTTTCTATCAGATTTTAAATACTTTCCTCCAGTTAGTTGAGGGATGAGTATTATGGCATACCAATTTTACTAATATGTTACAATTTACTTTAATTCTTTGAGGGCAATTTCTATCAAAGTGATTAAAGAATCTTTTTAAGAGACTTCTTCTAAGTTACTAAGGGCTAGGTTTTTAAGAATGTTTCGGTAACTAAAGGTGGAATTAAGCAGCACTGGATATATATGAAAATCCTTCTTTTAAACTAGCCTGTCGGTGGGGTTATTGGTAATACTCATAGAATCATAGAATGGTTTGGATTAGAAAGGACCTTCAGCTCATCAAGTTCCAACCCCCCTGCCATGGGCAGGGACACCTCACACTAAACCATGTTGCCCAAGGCTCTGTCCAACCTGGCCTTGAACAATGCCAGGGATGCAGTATTTGCCACTTCTTTGGGCAACCTGTTCCAGTGCCTCACCACCCTCGCATTAAAGAATTTCTTCCTTATGTCTAACCTGAACTTCCCAGTGGGTAACAACCCAAGGCAGCTTTGTAACTTCATAGTTTCCCTTTTATATGTCCCCTGTATATTTCTTCAGCTGATATAAACAATGATAATTTAACTGAAATAAACTTAACTGCTATGATTCACACATGGGGATATAAAAATGAGAACAAAGGCGATGGGAAATTGGGTTTTGTACAAACCAATAACACATAATAAAAACGTGTTAAAGTGAATAAAAAAGTTGAAAGAAACCTTTCACGCTATTTGGCTAGTCCTTTGCTCTGTTAACTTTTCAGTACTGCTACCTTTATTCTATGACTTTTTACATTTTAGCTATGACTGATAACTTCTCTTTGAAAGATAACATCTTCTCTTTGAAAGATAACATCAGAATAGTAATTCTATCACAACACACCAGAATATGTGCAGCCCTTAGTTCTAGAGTCCTTCTTTCTACTTTTAGGGTGCAAGTAACTTTCCCTAAAAAGCTCTGACACCATTTCTATGTAAAGCTTGAGAAAAGCAAAGCCCAGAAATGCTGTGGCCTCTAGACAATATTTACATGACACCAGTTACAGTAGTTTTCTCACTGACTTCCTGATATTATGCACGTGGGCAAAACTCAGTGTGTGCATGGATATTTATACCATCAGACTCAAAATCATTTATACCTTATTTCCCTACATCCTAGCATTTGAAGTTCAATCAGAAAAAAAACACCACAAAACATGATTTTCAAACTGAGTAATTCAGCTCAATTTTAAAAGGCAGATTAAAAAATTACAGAAATAAATACAAACATAAAAGAGAAATGTGGCTACAGCTTCCATAATACATTTGCTCTGGTAATAGCAACTGGTCCTGAATCAGAGGGATAATTTTCTCCACTGCTGCTGCTGCTGCTGTTTTTCTCAGTTTTGCTATGGAATTGTAAAGCCAGAAGACAATTACAGATTAAGTGGACGACAGTCAGACATTTATAAGTATCTGATCATGTAAAGAAAGAGACAGATTTTGAAGTGCTGCCTGTGTGTAATGGCATATATTCTACTGCCAAAATCTAAAGCCTGATTTCCCTAAAGTCAGGCTTTCATCTTAGGCAAAAATTTTAGACTGGTAAAACCAGTATGTAGTTACAAGTAAATGAATGAGATTATGCAAAATTAAAACAATGAAGTATTAAGCTACTTGGGGAAGGAGGAGGAAGATTGTTGGGTAATTGACATATTTTGCTCCATATCCTGAGCAAGATAGGATAAATATCAGGTACAAAAATCCTGATTTATTTATCATAATTGGATTAAATTTTTAGATTGGTTAGATTGAGGGGTTTTAATTTTCTCCTTCTATTAGTTTGTATTTCAGTGTTTGGTCTAATATAGATCTTGAAAGTTCAACTAAATATAAATTATTTGTCAGCAGCAAAACAGAACAATTTGAGAGACCATATCATATAAATACGTCCAGTAATGTTTTGAAGGCAGAAAGAGTGAGCCAGATGGTTTCTATCAATTCCCACTCTGCGGTGCAGCAAGGGGTTAGGATGATTTTCTTAGCAGCTTCTTGCATTTTGTACCTTGGAAGGAATTACGCGTTGCCTGCTTGTGTTCTTGTAGACGCTGTAATTGATATATTTAGACGTCTGGATTGAGCTGTTCCTGTACCAAGTAGCAGATCTGATTTGGAAATGGCACTAAAATATATTTAGTTGGCTAGTGCTTGCCCTGCTTTTTATATTACTACTTAGAGTGAGTAAAGATCTCTCTCTCGCAACAGAGATTGCAGTGTTTATGAATGAAGTGCTCTCTTAACTGTGTGAAACAAAATGTCACTGTCCAAAATTTCAAACCATTTACAAGTATTTGGTGCTATGCCAGAGGCCCCTAAGTATACATTCAAGTTCTGGAACACTGCACAGCCTTCTTTCTTATGTGTCCAGTTTCTGAATTTTACTTATTTCAATTAAGTAAGCTACATCTGGGAACATTTTTACTATTAAAAATGCATTTTAATTTATATTTAAATTGATAATACAGTTTTCAGCACCAAGAATGTCATTATGATCATTCTACAAGCATGTAGTAACAGCTTTTAGTAATGTTTCTCAATAATGTATAATTCTGAATTATCCTGAAAGAACAGGAACACAGTTCTCAGATTCAGTTTTCAGAATATGGCTTTCCTATTCCTTCTGTCAAGCCTGTTTCAGGGACCAGAAAAGCTGCTACAGGAATGGCTGAAGACAGTACAATACACAGGACAAAACAGCTAGACCTTGAGGGTGCTGGAATACTTCCTATAAACCCCCCCCAGGTTCTTGAATGTGCTTTTACTCCTTTAACTAAGTCCAGCATACAGTACCATGTTATATTTATGCCACCCTTGCAACCGTTTGCAGATTATACAGGTGATAAGCCATAACAGCACACAAAATGCTCCTGGAACTGAAATTCTTCAGAAAACCATTCAGATAATGAATCATTTGATTTCTTATACACAGAAAAGGTATGTGAATATGCACTCCTGTTTTCCATACAAAAATGGAAAAAAAAGTCTTCCATAGAAATGACATGGCTAATTTTATGTCAGCTACGATTACTAATTCTACCCAGGAAAGGGGAAGGAAATCTAATCCACAGTGATGCTGGGGCAAGACACCACCAGCTCTTTACTAGATGAAAAGACAACATAGCATAGTAAGAAATATCAAAGAACAAATACGTATATTTAAAGATTTTTGCATAATGGAAGAATTTGGAGAAACAAGAGGCTCTGGTCCTATGTGGAACTTTCCAAGCTTCAAATAAAATAGCATTAGACACTGAAACTCTAAATTTGGGAAGTTTTGCACCACTGAACAGATGTATCTCATTTTGCTGTGAGAAGATTAATTAGCAGTGGTTTACATTTACTTTTGCTATTCTGAAGCTAGATCCTAAAAGTCTGCAAAGCTTGAAAAGATCATTTATTCTAGTGAAATCAGCACAAAAGATTTGAATACTAGAAATATCCTTCATCTGAGCTGTGGAAAAGTATTTGTTGTACAGGTTTAACTCTAAACTATTAAATCATTAATTTTCTTACTGCTTGGAAACAATTATATTTTGCAAATGCTCATTCCACCCTTTTTTTCCATTTTTCATATCAGTACATTATTAATGTTGTAATAAGAGAGTACTTTTTCAGACTGAGAATTAAGACTTGGCTTTTACATGACACTATTAATTCTAAAAAATAATATTATTTTTTATTATAACCACATGTTTAGCTCCAAGGCAATTTTTATTGGAAATGTAGTTTCCTGCAAAAATGAGAAATGACTACGTGCTGTGTAAGAGGCTGAACAAGAAAATACTTATATGAAATGCAGACTGAAGTTCAGCAAAGTGAAGGGTTTTTACAAGTTTAATGAGAAGTTCAACTTCACATCTTAAGGTCCTTTCCAACCCTAACTATTCTTTGATTCTATGATTTTATGATTCACAAGTGAATTACTGCCTTAGGCAGCATGTTGTTACTCAGTTGTTACTATATACTGCTGTTTGCAAGTCAGACCTCTAAATTGAGAAATACTTTCATAATCTACTTCAGTGAAAACTGTCAAACCCTCTTGGTTCTGAAGATCAAATCAAGAGAAATATTGGAGAGACAGTGGTTCAAAATGCTAAAGTTCCAGATTCATATACAGAAGGAGAAAAGGCAATTTAGAGCCAGAATATCCTAGACTAAATCCTATTACGCTACCATTTTCAATGAAGAATGAAACATTTGATTTACAAATCTAACTCATCAACATTAGCAAAGAGTTTATATAAAACTGAGGCCAAACATGTTGTACAATAAGGAAGGATACTGAGAAATTCAAAGCTATTTCTCTTCAGCAGTAATTCATTGCAATACGGTCACTGAAATCCTGACTACTATAATTTGTGGAGGTGCGCTTTACTGAGTGTTGTAAACTGATGAACACTGCTTTACATCTATTCACTTCGAAAAATAACTAGAAAAGGTATTATAGCTTTTAATGTTTCCCAGTGCAGATCAAATATGATAAGTTTGTAAGTAAAAAAGTGTGTTTCCTAGACATCAATCTGGAAGATTCAAACCAGACTCTCCTTTCCATGCTGTGGTACCAGGAACACATATTCAGAAAGCCAGATTATACATTTGATGATGCATGTGAGACTGTGTACATACTTCGAACAATGCAGACTTAAGAGTGGAACTCAACTTACTCCTTCTTTTCTGTCATAAAGGAAAACATCCACAAGTCCAAGTACACATGCAAAGAATAGATCTTGTAAGTAAAATAACAGCATTTCTAAAGAATCATTTTAGTTCCCTGTTGTATCTTCTCTCTTCTGTTCGGTTCTCATCTTGTGGTTTTTTATGCTATCTTCACACAATTATTCAGTTAGCAGTTTCTTTCAGAAACCTTGAATTGGCTCGGATTCTGTAACTAACTTATCTGTCAGCTATCGAATACCACCTG